CATTTTGTTTTTGGACCACATCTCTAAACTCTTGATGGATGTACAGGGAAATCCCAGGAGATGAGCAGTAGAGCAAAAGACCAAAAATATTTATCATGATATACATTTGAAAATTTGCGATAACGATGTAACTGACGATATAATTGACACTAGACAAAATACTTTACGCCATGTGCGTATGAAAACAAAGGCACTGCGCATGCGCGTTTCACCCATATTCTATCGCGATCTCATTTTCTTATCGTTGTCCAACATTATACCGGTATTACTGTGAACGGTATGATATGGCCCAGCCCTAATGAGCAGTTTCTGAAATATTTGAGCACCAAAAACCCATGCCGGTGCCAGACGGGCACATTTGAACCACGTTATTTACAAGTCATGTAAATAGTCTTCCCCATTGCGATGCTCTGTTAGGACTTTAGCTTGTCTACATGCCTTAAAGCATTTAGTGTGTGATTGGCTGATTCGATATGAACAGGTGTACCTAATAAAGTTGTTTTTTTTGTCTTAGCACCAACTAGTCTTGCATTAGAAAGCATACCAACAATTTAACAACAAAGCCTGTGAGTTGAGCAGAAAACACAACTGTAAATTCATATCAATCCTCCAGTCTTCAGACCTTTTGTGTGTGAATGCTCTTTGTAGTGAGGCATTAGAAAACAGTGAGTCTCAAACTGCTTGACTCAAGTTGATAACCGCCTCCATGTGGCGGCTAAGCCTCATCGCTGATGTTGGGGTGGATGTAGCCTTATAATATATGCATATACTGAGTATGTTGAACTTTGTAGTACAGGCCTCAGGTCCTAGTGGTGCTGCTGGTCGCCTGCCTGGATGCTCTCCATTAGACGGCCAAAGAGTTTTCACAATATGAATCCTTTCCATCAAGTCTGCACTGCTCAGGTGCCCCCCAGCCTATTATTTTATTATTATTATTTTTTTATATAACAGGAAAGCACTTGAATGACCGTTTGTGTTTGAGCTTCTGCTACCAGCTGCAAACTGCCTTCACTTTGGATGAAGTGATGTCAGTCACTACATGGACGATACGCTGTCATAGATGCTGGTTTATACAGAAAATGTAGTGCGCTTATTTTTGGCATTTATAAATTCAATTTATGCAGTAAGTATATCTATAACCCAGTGTGACACATTAATAATTCAGCCTTATGGATACAGACGGTAGTTTCCCAGTAGGCTGTGTGGTAGAGCGATATGACCAAAAATATTTATCACGATATACATTTGAAAATTTGCGATAACGATATAATTGACACGAGACAAAATACTTTACAACTCCACAACTTTATTAGTGCAAAAAAACAAAAACCATCAATGTATTTTCACTTAAACAAGCAGCTGTTT